TGGTGCCGAGAAGTCAAGTCGAGGTGCTGTCTGTGCCGAGCTCTCTTCCACTCTGAGCCTGCAAAGAGTTCCTTCCTGGCTTCTGGTGGTGACTGGCAATCCTTGGATCATAGGTTCATCACTCCATTTGCCACCAATCTGTGTGTATGGAAACACTGTAATTTAGCCGGGGAAACCTAGTTATTTGAAAAGATGGTGTGGTTATGATTTTGGTGAAACGAACCAACCATTCAGACTAAGTCTGCCTAACCTTTGAAGGCATGTAATTGTAACAGAGTAGTAATTGAAGTAACCTTGAAAAGCGTTCCCTTTCAAGATAGAAGTGTAGCTCTGAATGGAATCTTAGATTAATTAGAAGAACAAAGGAGCAGCCAGACTTTTGAGAACAGAAATCTTCTGTATACTGCCACTTGGAACTACTTTTAAAAGAAGTCAGTGTTTAAGTAAATCAGTGTGCTACTGTGATCTTTCCATCATTTCCTTCAGAGGTGCATCCTTTTTAGGGCACTCATTGTTACCGGTAAACCAACAACACTTGGCTTTCAGATAGCTTTTCTGTGATAATGTTTTAACACTCTTTTGACCTATGGTTTTTAAACCCCCTGGAAAACTTAATTAACTCTTGGGGGGGGGGGTGTAATTTCTATTTGTTAAGCTGATTCTTAAGTCAGCTGACCCGAAGAGTAATTATGGACACACCTTGAAGTTTAAAAGGAAACTTTTCATGTAAGAGCAAAAGACTGGGACAGGAAGACTCTCAGAAATGTACATAGAGACCAGTTATCCAGAAGGGGTGTTCAGGACCTGGCGGTGGTGGCGCATGTCTTTGATCCTAGCACTTGGGAGGCAGAGGCAGGTGGATTTCTGAGTTCAAGGCCAGCCTGGTCTACAAAGAGAGTTCTCGGATAGCCAGGGCTATTACATAGAGAAACCCTGTCTCGAAAAACCAAAAAAAAGTGGGGGGGGGGGATTGGGGAAATGGGTGCTTGGCTCAACACATACCTCGGCTCATTTCAGTCCATTTTAAGGTGTTGAATAATTGATTGTCCTGAAGACGTTTGCTGTGCACTGTGAGATGATTGCAGTCTGTGAATTCTACTCACTAGGTTGCAGTAGCACTTCATCCTCTTCCAGTACAGACAACTGAACATAGCCATTGCTAAATGTCTCCAGGGGCCCAAACTTCCATCCTTGTACACCATTGGTCAAAGTCAACTCCTGTAGAAAAGGCCCAGCTGAAACAGTGCATAGCTGTCTGTGTTGTGTGAACAGTAGGCTTTTCTCAGTAGTGGTCAGCAATTTTAGTGAGTGTTGGCCCCAGAAGTCAGCGTAGTTTGAAAACTATGTTTCATGTTCATCACTTCCTAAGGCACCAAGAAATTGGTTCCCTCAGGAAGCTTACAAGTTTATTAAGTAATGCAGGGGAGAAGTAGAGAGCTTGAGTGGCATGCTCTAGGTCCTGAGTACAAATCCCAGAACCATTAAACAAATAAAACAGGGGTACCATGACTAAGAAATGGTATCGAGAAGTCCCTGCAGGGAATTTCTTCTGCAGTGCCCCTGCCTTACCAGAAACATCACCATCTCTACCTCTTGAATGATTGGTTCCCTTTCCAGTGATGGTGACCAAATACAAGACCTATGTAAAGCTGTAAGATAAATAACAATGTCTTCATAGAATAGCAGTTTTACCAGTCTTCTGTAATGTAAACATTGCTGCGTGTTACAGAACATACACTTACATGCACTTACATTTATGTGATAGTTTAGAGATAAAAATCAGATTTTTGAGGCCGCCATTTTATGAGATAGGATTGAGAAATAATGATTCATTCCAAAGGAGCTTAGTCTGCATGTTGGCTGCTGTTGCTATGGAGCCCCCTTCCATCCCTGAACAGACTCACTTCTCTTAAATGTCCATCATTACAAGTGATTGGAACTTCATGTTTGATTGTTCCAGAGAGCAGAGGAGACTGGGCTATTCTTACAAGAGCCTCCCTCCCGCACAAGAGCACCCATGCGTTGGCCCCTTCCTGGTTGTAAAGGCCTCATTGAGCCTGGTTCCTGTCAACCTAAACAGGCCATGGACCCCAGTATTGAGTAGTGTGACTAGTTTCTGGTTATAGTGGAATGACAGCATTCCATCATCCTTTGAATGCTGGAAGAGAGTTTCAGTTATTTTCCAGCTCTATCTTAGACTTGGAATTAACAGCCTAAACTTTCTTTACCCTATCACATAGGCATCTGTCTGTCTGAGATTTAAATTTCATGCTATCTCAGTCCAATTTTTTTATGATATTCTTTTAACTCTTACCTGTGCCTTGTCAGTGTCCTTGTTCTTTTTTCTTTTTTAATGAATGGTTTTGACTAAGCCTTTAGAAACACTAAAGTATTAATTGAGCATCCTGCCATGCCAGGTACTATGCTAGGGCATAGGAAAAACAAATGTTAGGAATAGGCCTGGTCCCAAAGCTTGTGGCTGGTGTGTTTCCTACAGGTCAGCTGTGCTTTTGATTCAGTGCAGTCCTCTTGACTTGGGGAAGAAGCTCAATTCAGCGGTATTTCTCCAAACTATGAAGCTGATTGTGCTGCAAAAGCAGGGGTTAATCGGGCAGGTTGTCCAAAAAATCTGGAGGTGGGAAAAGTATACACAGGCATGTGGGAAGCATAAGAGGGAGTGAAAGATTGTGATCGACGACCAATAGAAGGATTTATAGGGCCAGGGAGAGGCTGATAGCTTGGGGCGGACAGCACAGCCTGGTGGTCATCTATAGGATTTCAGCACTGAGCAGTGGGAAATTGGCACAAGAGGAATGGACAAGAGAAGATGGTGTGTGGGACTGCAGAGAGGGCTCGGTGGTTATGAGCACTTGTTGCTCTTACAGGAGATCTGGGTTTAGTTGCCAGCACTTGCATGGCAGTTTACAGCTGTCTATAACTCCCATGTCCAGTGTGTCCAGTGCCCTCTTCTGGCCTCCATGGAGTGGCAGACACAGATACCTAACCCTAACCCACTTTCATAAGCAAAAAGACGAATGTTTCATGAGGACCGCTAGTTGGTAACAGTCGAGATGATTGGTGACATCAGTGAGAATGAAACAGTAAAAGATGAAGTGCACGGGTCAGAAGGGGCTTGGCAGCTGTATACACTGGGTTGGTGATGCCTGCGATGTGCAGTTTGGGTAGAGGAAGTACCAGGGTGATTCTTGATTTCTGGATGGTTCTAGATCTGAGGGGATGGAATTAACTTGAGACACAGGAAAGAATCAGACCTTGATATGCAAAGTGAACTAAGTTGATTTGAAACGTTGCAAGGTCTGATCAGGAAGTCACCGTTCAGAGGGAGCTGTTGCAGTGTGGTAGTGAAGGCAGAAACCACTAAGATTGAAGAGCAGGCATGGACTATGATGACTCTTAAGTCAAGCTTTTACACTTTTCATGTTTCTTAAGCTATGTATAGTACATGTATATGTGAGTGCTACGCTGCAGAGGCCAGAAGAGGTCGTTGGATCCCCTGGAGCAGGAGTTACAGGTAGTTGATGAGGTGGGAACTGAACTCAGACTGAAAGGGCAGGAGCCATCTCTCCAGCCCCTTAATCTAAGCATTTCCACCTAGTGGAAGACAGGTTAGTTACCAAGTGTATTGCTTTTCTTGCTGCTGTGATAGAAATATACGGACAGGAGCAATCTAAGAGAAAAGGGGTTTACTTTGGCCCCCTGTCTGTGGGTACAGCCCATCATGGCAGGGAAATCATGGTGCAGGAGCTAGAGGTAGCTAATGATGTGCATCCACAGGAGGCAGCATGAAGCATGTCAGTGCCTTGCTTCTCTTTGCTCAGTTCAGAAGCCACCCTATGGACTAGTGCCTTCCCACCATCACTAACCTAACCTAGAGAATTTTTCATAGGCATGCTCAAAGGCTATAATCTCCCAGTTGATCTTAGAGCCTGTCAAATTCATAACTAAGCATCACAAAAAGAAGGTGAGAAAATTGATGGGAAATGTGCTTGAGAAATATACTAACCATACCAAAGAATGATTAGTTTTCTGTTACTGGACTGGCAGAATGGGCTCTGTTCCCTCAGAGCAGTTCTTGGATTGGATAGCTGGTGTAAGTATCCCACACCAGATAGGCGAGTCACAGCCCCTGCTCTTACGGAGTTTGTGTTGTAGTGCAAGGGAGTAGTAATAAGGAGCAAAGGGATCATTTCTGCTGATGTTATCTGTCACAGCACATCACCAGGGGCAGGGGTGGGGGAGTTTTTGAACTTGTCCCAGCAATCTTTTCGATGGTGGTAAGGTGTACATAACAAAATTCACCCTCCTAGCTCAGCAGCGCTCAGTTTGTCCACACAGCTATGTAGGCAACCTGCAGAAATGTCCTCTGTTACAAAGTTGAGATTAATTCCATTAAACAACTGCTTTAACCTTTCCCAGAATCTACCCCCACCCCCGGAACCTAGGAATCTAGTGGGTGCTAGGCAAGTGCTATATTGCTGAGGACGTCCCCAGAGGAGGCATACAGCATTTGACTGAGGGTTAGATATTAGAAATAGGGTCAGTCAATTAATTGCATAGGATTTAAAAGCCCGGAGGAGTGCTGAGCGGGGGAGGGGGAGGCCCGCCATGGTGATGCCCACCTGTGGTTACTGCTCTCAGGAGGTCAAGGCAGGAGGATAACCTTGAGTTCCACCAGCCTGGGCTGCATACTGATTTCCACTTTAACCTGAGCTACGTAGCTAGACTGTCTCAAACACAAACGAAACCATGGTTCAAAGGCCGATAATAACTGTAAAGATCTTTGCTTGGGCCTCTGGCAAGACTTGCTAGGCCTCTTCAGAACCTTTTGTCTCAAGATTTACAGTCTCCGGGCAAAATCCCCACTGTCTGGACTTCACTTTGTGACTTAACCTTTTGAACCCTGTTAGACGTCAGACTTCGTATATCTTATGGAGGCGGTTTAGCATGTAAAGCATGAGCCTGGGTCCAGGAACCATCAGGACAGAATTGGGCTGCACTGGCGGGCCAAGCTGGCTTTGCAGACCAGGTCCCTCGGAGGCCCATCCACCAGAAGCTCCGCCTGCAGGAGCCCGCCCACGAAAGCCCCGCCCGCGAGCGTCTAGCTTCCCGGCTCCCCGGCTCGCCCTGCGTTCGGGAAGTGCTGCGGACCCATGGGTGAGGACTGGGTGCTGGGCCCGGCGGCGGGCTCCTCCTTGCTGCTGTGCTCGGCGTTGCTGGCCGCGGGGTGCGCTCTGGGCCTGCGCCTGGGCCACGGGCGGAGCGCGGTGGAGCGTGGGGTGCTGGCCTGGCTCTGCTACGATGCCCTGGTGCACTTCGTGCTGGTAAGCGTCGCTGTGTCGCCGCCGGCCTCGGGTTCCGCCCTGAGAAGGAGGGCTGGGAACTTGCGGGCTGGATTTCCCGGGAAGCCGGAGGGCGCCCCCTTTGCCAAGGCTGATTCCCCGGTTCAAACGGAGCCCTACTTACCAGGTGCTGCCTAGTCTCCTATCAAATGTATTCCCCTGAGACTTGCTAGAGAAATTTCTTCCCCCCCCCCACAACTCCCACCACTCATCTTGACTTATCTTTTGAGGGTCAGCTATATCTAGAAATCCATTTCTTGTAGCTTTCCTAATTTTGTAGAATATAGGTTTTTAAAGTATGTCGATACGAATTTCTGAATTTCTCTGGTGTCTGTTAAGGTATCTTCCTTTTCATCCCTAATTTTATTAATTTAGGTCTTCTGTCTTTTGGTTAGTTTGCCTAAGGGTTTGTCAATCTTGTTAATCTTTTCAAAGAATCAGCTTTCTGTTTTATTGATTTTTTTAAAATTTTTGTTGCTGTTTTTCATTTTATTTCTGCCCTGGTTTTAATTATTTCTTCCAATCTACTGTTTTGGAGTTTGATTTTTTTTTCCTGTTTTTTAAACTCTTGAGGTGCATCATTAAGTTATTTATTCAAACTTTATGGTTTTTTTTTAAATGTAGGCACTAAGAACTATAACTTTCCTTCTTAGGACTGCTTTTATTTCATTCCACAAGCTTTGAGTATTTTATGTTTCCATTTTTATTTAATTCTGAGATCACTTTTTAAAATTTCCTTCTTGACTTCCTTTAACTACTCACTCATCATTCAGTAATCTGTTGTTTAATCTTTAGTGTGTGCATTTCTGGTCTAATGTACTCAAGACACAGCCAGGAAGCATTCAGATTCCATGTCAGGATGAACGACCTCTAGCTAGGTTTCCTGTAGAGGCCTTATTCCCCTCTGGACTCTCATAAGCCAGGTTTCCACTGTCCTCTTACCTCTCAGTAGTCTGGTCTTCCAAACTTTTGCCGGACTGGCCTGTTACACTTTGCTTAGAGCGTTCTATGGCTTTTCTAGCCCCAAGTTTCAAACCGTTCACATTCTTCTTACAATTCAGTTCCAAAGGCCTGAGAACCACATGGTCAGGTGGACCAAGTTTCTGTATGAGTTACTTGGGTTACTCCTGACAAGGGCCATGTAAGGGGGTGAGGGTTAGTTCTGACTCACAGGTAGGGGCTCTCGTCCACTGTGGCGGGGACGGTGGCAAGAGCAGGAGGCAGCTGCGCACGTAGGTCCACAGCCCACGGCCCCAGCTGACTGAATGCTACCACCCACATGTGCAGTGGCTCTTGTCATCTCACTTAACCTAGTATAGATAATCCCTGACAGGGACTTGTTTCCATGGTGATTCCAGATCCCACCAAGTTGACAGTTAACAGTCAAGATTAACCATAATGTGGCCTTTAAATTCACCTAAAATAAAGTGAATGGTTTTGTTTTTTTCATGTATTTACTTGGATGGGGGCAGGGCATGCACCTGGCATAGCATTCCATATAGAGAGCAGTGGACAACTTGAAAAAATCAGTTCTGTCCTTTGGGTTTTGGGGGTCAAACTCAGGGTCCCAAGGTTGGCTGAAGGGCCTTTATCCACTGAGCCATCTCCCTGATCCCTCACCCCACTTTATAAATAGCCAGTGGGACTCTACATAGGCAATTCTACTGGAGTCTACTCCCTTCCCAAGTTTTTAAAAATAAAATCTTAAATACCTTTTTTTAAAAAATAAAATAAAATAAAATCTGACCTACCCTTAAGCTAATGTGAAGCTAAAGTCTTGAAATAAAAAGAAAACATCGTGTTTGGCAATGGTTTAGGTCTGTGAGTATTCCCAGTTAAATGTGCCAATGCCAGGTATTTGCACAAAGGTGAAATTCCTTCTTTGCCAATAATTTCCTAATAATTATGTGTAGAGACTAGAGCAAGGTTCTTTCCTGCAAAGCCCTTGTTTAAAGAATTGATTTTAAGCTACATAATCTCCCAGAGGAGAATAGTAGTAAAATAGGTCCAGTGTGCACATCTGTCACCCCAGCGCTTGGGAGGGAGGCAGAAAGATAAGAAATTCAAAGTCCTCTTTGGTTCCATAGGAAGTTCAAGGCCAACTTGGACTACCTGAGATCCTGTCTCAAAAACAAACAAACAAACAAAAAAACCAGGTCCCACTTAAAGGAAAATATATAGCTATAACATTCCAGCAATATAAAAAGGTGTAAAGAGTCTCAAAAAAATGTATTTGTATGTCCACCACTCAGTTTAAGTTGACTTTTCAAGCACACGTTCAGGTAACATGGCACGTGCCTCCATTCATGGTGCTTTGAGTCTGGTCTGATGTGTGGAATTGGTCTGTTCCCCCTGCTCCAGATATGAAGGAAATGCCCCCTAAAGAGCCTTTGATGGCCTGCTGTGAAGGGCTCCTTTGTGATTGCCCTGCCTTAGTTTTTCCCACCTAAGGTATTCTTTCCTCCAGCTAGGGAAGTGACCCTGACAGACACCCCAAGCCATTGGGTTGAAATTGAGACATATCTCACCAAGTCTAATAAGCCCACATTAACAGATGTTCTGCAGCTGCCAACAGCGCTTTCACCAGTGTCTGAACACCAACCTCAGAGAGCAGTGGAATTAGCAGTGAGGCCTGTAAGGAATGTACTTGCGTGGATTAGCTTTGGTTAGCAGTTTGCTGCAAGGGTATCCAAAAATAAGGGATGAGTTGATACTACAAAGTAGAGCCTTGAGAACTGAAAGCCCCGCCCCCTTGGTGCTTGAGCTGCTTTTACCTCTGAAACCTCCCAAAACCAAACTCAGAGCTTGCCTCTGGGACAGAGGTTCAAGCTATGCATCCCACAGGCAGTTCACCTCAAGCGTCCAACCAGAGTGTACTGAGTAATCATGATCATCAACCTGCTGGATTCAGAAGTGCCTGAAGCCGAGTAGAGCTCACCTCTGTAAGGGAGCTGGGATGATAGGTAATAAACATGACTATTAAGTAGTAGGAAGGATTTGAACAAGGACAGAGGTGACTGATATTACAACATAGCGTGTTTGGTGTTTGGCCATTCCTTCAGGTTTATAACTCCCATGGCTCTTACTATTTCCTAATAACTGGAGCAATCAGGTCCATTTGGGCTTTTGCTTTGTTCCCAGAGCAGCTTGGGAACGGCTTCAGAGCAATAAAGATAAAGATGACCAAGCAGAGAAATTATCATAGTGTCTCTCTGACCTTCTGCTCTCCTTTCACAGACTTCTTTTTCTCTGCAAGGCAGGCTGTAGCAACTGAAAATTCTCTTCTCCAAGGTGGGTCACAGAAGCAGAATGAGCATGCATGCCCTTGCCCTGTCTGTCTGTCTCTCTGTCTTGAGCGGACCGTTAAAGCACAGGTCTGGCCTCCAAGGAGGGAGCAAGAGAGGTCAGGAGGAATCTGCAGATAGGCCTTGCTTGGTGTCCCCCACTGCTGTCACTGGTGTCCGGGCTTCATTGGCACCTGTGCAGTGTTATCCCCATGAACCAGAGACTCTGTTTGTAGAGTGCTTGCCTATCATTTGTGAAGCCTTGAGTTCATCCCAGTACCACATACAAACCAGATGTGGTAGTACATGCCTGGAATCCCAGCACTGGGGAGCCAGAGGCAGGATGATTGCCACAAGTTCAAGGCCAGACTCTTCTACAGAGTGAGTTCTAGGCCAGTCTAGGTACAGAGACTCTGTTCGTGTGAATGTTCCCCTTCACAAAACCTAGAATCACATGGGAGAGGGACCTCTGGGCATGAATGTAAGGAATTGTCCTGATTGCACAGATTGCTGTAGGAAGTTTGATGTGGACAGACAGGTCTTAACTGTGGGCATGACCAGGGCTGTATAAGTGCTGAGGGTAGGATTGAATGGTTAGGTAGGATTGAGGGGTGTCTTAGTTAGGGTTACTATTGTTGTGAGGAGACACCATGACCATGGCAACTCTTATACGGAAAACATTTAATTGAGGTAGGGGCTTATAGCTTCAGAGGTTCAGTCCATCATCATCCTGGCAGGGCCATGGTAGTGTGCAGGCAGACGTCATGCTGGCTACATCTTAATCAGAAAGCAGCAGGAAGTTGACTGAGATACTGGGCAGTATCCTGAGCATAGGAAACCTCAAAGCCTACCCCCATAGTGACACACTACCTCTAACAGAGCCATACTTATTCCAAAAAGCTACAGCTGCTAATAGTGCCACTCTCTTGGAGGGCATTTTCTTTCAAACTACCATAAGGGGTAAGGTGAAATCGAGGCATGAGGTGGGATTGAGGAGTGTCTTAGGGTTTCAATTGCTGTGAAGAGACACCATGACCACAGCAACTTTTATAAAGGAAAGCATTTAATTGGGGTTACTTACAGTTTCAGAGGTTTAGTCCGTTATCATCATGGTGGGAAACATGATGGCATGCAGGCAGACACAGTGCTGGAGAAGGAGCTGAGAGTTCTACATCTTGAGCCACAGGCAACAGGAAGTGAACTGTGACACTGGGTGTAGCTTGAGTATAGGAGAACTCAAAGCCCACTCCCGCAGTGACACACTTCCTCTAATGTGGTAGACCAGCCCCCACACTTATTTACCCCAGTAGCTCTTGAGGATTGAGGGTTAAGAGACTTAGAAATAGTGAGGAGAGAAGCAGAGAGAAAACACAGGATAGATTCAAGTGGGCCTGGATCCTTATCTACCGGCCCAGAACTTTATTCCAGAGTCTATTTTTAACAATGCCAAGGGGTGGAGCAAAAGACCTCCCCCTTGCTAGTTACAGTCACCTGATACCCAGGCCTGTGGTCCAGTCAACCTCTTATGCAGCTAGTGGGCTCCAACACTCCAGCAAGGCCATCCTACTCCATCCATCTCCTACTAGTGCCACTCCCTTTGGGGGCCTTTGCCTTTCAACCACCACAAGGGGTGAGGTGGGACTGTGGGGTGAGGTGGGATTGTAGGGTGAGGTAGAATTGAGGGGTGACAGTGCGATT